GGGGGGGGGGGGGGGGGGGGGGGGGGGGGGGGGGGGGGGGGGGGGGGGGGGGGGGGGGGGGGGGGGCATATCGTAGACTACTTTAATAGCGCGCTGCATCGCCGGGGCAAGGGTTAATCCAAAGCGAGGTCTTCAGGTCGAAGCACGATGAGCATTGTTCTAGGCAGTGGAAACGCCAGCTAAAGCGGTCGTGCAACAAATTGTCTTTCGCCGCGCGCGAGGTTGAGAGCATGCTATCAAGACAGGACGTGCGGAGAGTACTGCTGCAGCGCTCATGGATCGCTCATGCTACTGCTGCGGTCCTGGTGCGTGCCGGCGTGTTCAGAGAAAAAAAACACAAAAAAATTGGAACTCCCACCACGACTAACGGGGGAAAGCACGCTACTACCGTTCTTCCTTTGCACATCCCACAAAACAACTACAAGTGTACTGCAAAGTTACACCCACGGAACACTCACCGATCCAGCGACCCCCTTGGGGGCCTTCTTCTTCTTCCGCGATGAGGGGACCCCGCCGGGCGACACCGCTTCCTGGGAGGGGGGTCGCTTCTTGATCGCCGGCTGCTGCTGCTGCTGCTGCTGCTGCGGCAGCGGTGCCGACGACGCCTTCGCCGCCTTCGCCGCCGCCGCGGTCGCCGCCTTCACCACCTCCTCGTTCCCAACGCCGCCGTCCATCCTCTCTCGCCCGAGCACAACTGGCTGCTGCTGCTGCCGCTGCTGCTGCTGCTGCTCCTCCTAAATGGTACCAGTAGTATCTGCTAACGCTACGTCCTTATACCCGTAGACAGCCGCGAGAAGCATGCAGATGGCGTGCGATCCACCCGAATCATGCCCCGCTTTCCCGTAGGCAGGCACCCCCCCCCGACCACCGTCGGAGAACAGATGCCTGTGCTGACCAGCCTAGATATATTGTTGTCGGTGGGACCGGTGCTGCTGCTGTTGAAACAGGACGCGCGGAGACACAGGCGAGTCTTGAGGTCTGGAGCACTACAGCAGTACTAGAAACAGCCAAATCGGAACGTGCGCGGAGGCATCGAAGTTCGCGAGAGGGCGCGTTCTCATATCGTCACGCGTGATCCTCGAGCTACAGCATATCATACAAATTCCCATGTACGTATTTTAGCGGCCATACGTCGTTCGTCCTCTTAAGTGGCGGATTTGGATTTCATGAAAGAGGTCGTTTGCTGTTTGAACCTCACGGAGCAAGAACATTCCTGAGGTTGCAGGAGGCATGGCCACTCCACCAAGCTTAGTCAGCCAAAATGCGGGTGTACCAGATGCCGCCGTGTAACGCGCATCTTTCGTTCAGCGAACCAACCACAACCAACCCATGCAGCAGAAGTCGCTCTCCAAATAAATCCACAGGTGTGCAACCAACCACACCAACACGGCGGAGAGAAAAGCGCTATCCGCTTGACGATCCTTGCCGGTTTCGTCCTAGGGCGAACAACGGAATAGCATGGCTTCAGCCCATGCTTGCTGACTGCTGCTGTTGGGTATCCAACCAGATGGACACGGATTCCAACACATACATACACACACACACACAAACCACGTTTGCAAAAATAACCCCCACAGGCTACGCACGTTGTGGAGGAACTCGACATCGCACAGCCGATCGCGCATGTGTGTACACTATCCATTTGCTCCTGAGAAAACAGCATGCCGCAAGTTTGAAAATCTTGTTAAGGTCCTGTCTGTGCACTGCCGCAGCTACCCGCCGCGGGCCACAAGCGGCGCGAGGGGGCGCTTCGAACCCGCCACTTTCTCAAGGACAGCATCTCGCACGTGAGAAAAAAAGCCACAACCTCGACGCAACTCGCCTCCTCTCTCCCACCAGTTTTGCTTGAAAGACGAGCCAGCTCTCTCTCGAACGCAGCGCGGGACACACAGCAAACACGCTCACCTTTCCTGTAGCACTCCGGCCCTTTCCAGGGCTCCCGATGGGATTCACTCCTGGCCTAAGCACACACCTTGCGGGGAAGACCGCACCCTTCGGGTTGGTAGTGACCAGGACTCCTGTGATGCGAAGAGTTTTTTCCCTCCCTTCTTCAAAGAGTAGGTGGCTCGACTCGCCAGCCAAGCGAGGGGGCTCGCCAACGAATACTTTCCACCCCCACGAATTCCACGACGATACAATTCTACGGCCCCCCTGTGAAAGATCCAAAAGATCGGGAAAGATCGCGCATCATGCAAGCATGCGACACCCAAAGTCAGACCCGACATGACGAGCAACCTACAGCTGACTTACAGGGATCCCACTACTCGTTCGAAACTAGGAATCCATTACTCAATTCTGAAGTTGCGCAACTTGGAGGCTGTAGCAAGGAGAGAGGTCGCGCTGTTTTTCTCTCCGGTTTCTGATCACGATGTTGGGTATCCTTGATCCATCAAGAGGGATGACACTGGAAGATACGGAGTACTGGCTCGGCCATCCTGAGCTTCAAGGCATGGTGGCTCATTTCATGGCAAAATGTGAGACATGCTCCTTGTATTGCCCTAATTTTGCGTCGTTGCCCACGGGGAAGATGATATTCAAGGTTTTTCGAAGTCACAATGAAAGCGTGGGGAATGACGCATGGCTGTCAATATGGAATACACAACAGCGTTTGATTGCTGTGAAAGAGGTGTTTGATCAGATGATAGGGTCCAAACGTAGGGATACGCCCGTTGTAGTGTCATGCATGGCAACGACCGTGACTCGACCCAATCTTTTTCGGCCATCATTTGCGTCGTGTTTTGGCTCTCCTGTATTCCTACATTGTACCACAGCACGATCCCAGTATGCGACGGCAGTTCTTGTGTTGCAGATAAGATTTAGCCGCCTATGATCTACAAGCTTGTTGTGTATCAGTGTAGCTATGGCGCCAGGACTGTCGTACCGCCTTACATCGTTCCCCGCCCTGTGCACTCACCGTGAATAAGTGCGTATTGTTCTGGCCACTACCTACGGCCGCTGTGCATCGTTTGTTCCTCTGCAGTGCTTGAGCAGCGACCGAGCGACGTGCACGCGTTCGCCTGCGAAATATTTGGTCACCCAAACCTCAAGGAACAAGTAGATCAGGTATGCCCCACATAGGGCTCCTGCAAGGACGTACTGATGTATGTGTTTAGGCACGGCAAGTTGATATTGCCCTACATGGTTGATGTTGGGCTACACCTTAGTCTACGCGTCAGTGTACCAAGTGAGTGCAGATACGCAACAACCTGCGTACATGTACGCCGATCGTTATGGTGGGTGGGCGTCGGAGCGCTCTTAACTCTCACTCTTGGCAATTGGCGGTCAATTCCCGGTGCTTGAGTTCATAGAGATATCGCGGATGCGGTTGATGCCGTGATTCAGCAACACCTCCTGTACACGGGAAAACAATGCGCCGCTCGCACGTATAGTCCATGGTCGACCAGACCAGTCCTCCCAACAATGAATACGTCGCATTTACGCGGTCAACCGCGTGCGAATGGGCTACATCTTTATGTACCGAGCGTGTGTGCGTAGCCTGTGTACGAACTCTTCCCATCTTTTCTATTGCAAATGTTGCTGATATGTACTTCTGTCATTGTTGCTCATGTTTGGGGTATTGTTCACTCGTTGTGTACCTCGAGCAAACTCTCAACAATTAACTTAAGACTGCAATATCGAGGCAAGGGTTGCGTTTATGAGAGGTAACATTACTTCGACCTCTTTTGTTTCGAACGTTCCTGCAGAATAGATAGATGTGGTTCCGTCATGTTGCCTCGTGATACGATTGATCGATACCTACGAAACAACAGGCGGTCGCCAGGAGTGGGGGAGCATTCGGCGAGCAGCAGCGGCGGCAATGGGCAGCCAGATCACCAGCTAGCCGAGACGAACAGGGTGGCCACGGCAAGATCAGATCGAACGAGAAAGAGTCGAGGGGGAAAGACTCACGAGACAAGAGTCCTGGTTCTAGGGAGAAAGGCTCCAGGGAGAAAGGCTCCAGGGAGAAAAGCTCGCGGGATACCAAATCTAGAGGGGGCACAAGGTCACAAGGGAGGACGCGTTGACGACCTTGCTTCGCGTGAGAGGCATGAACTACAACTGCACAGCAGTGTGATGGTGCAGTCAACGCAACGCAGGCCGCTTCTTCTTACTTCGAAGCTGCTTGCTTGTTGTACACTCGTCTGATAGAGTAATGTTCGTGTTGGTTTGCGTGTCCTTTAGGGTGACCTCACACACCCTGAGGGCGAGACTACCGCTGGTCTAGCCGCACACGAAGCCCCACATTGCTGCCAAGATATGTAGCCGGTGGTTGCACCTCTTTGTTGCGTGATTGTTAGCGCGGGCGCAATGGTCACTGCCTTTCTGTGCCTTGGATATTTTTCCGGTCTGGGGCCACACGGAAGAGTTGAGAGACCCGAAGTCGTAGTCGTCTGTTGGCACTTTCCCAGACCTGAGTAACATCGACATAACAACAAGTACTTCCTTAAGTTGTGAGTGTCTAGAGCCTGATCACACACCGGACTCGCGATGCCACATGAAGACGCCCCAAGCGCCATGAACCGCAGGAGATCACCTACCACAGCAAGCCCGACCCTATATTTTTTCGGGAGAACACACACCCGTACACTTCACTTATCCCGTTGGGTGGGACTGAACAACGGAAGAATCCACCGCGTGAAAAAATCACATCAGCATGTTCTCCATCTCTGAGGCTGAACCGCCGACCGCCTGATCGAGTACCGCGGCCTGGTCCCGGTAGAACTCCAGGTAGTCAGCCCGAGCCACGTGGAACACAACCCACGGTCCCGGCAGGAACTCCCTGGCCCTCATCATAACGCACCCCCTATCGCTCGCTTCTCTGGGCGACCGGCCGAAGCCCGTGCCCCCGCTCCCGTTGCTGCGTCTGATATTCGGGTCGCTGACGTCGTTAGATCCCCTGCCCGCTCCTCCTTCGATCAACCGCGGTGTCGCCGTCGCTGCCGAGGGGCTTCCTCCCCAGCGAGGCCAAGAAGGGCGAGCGGTGCCGGTCACGACGAAGATGCTCTCGGGCAGCGTGTGCCCCACCTCCAGGTCCACGCCCTCGAGCACGTCTTGCGCCAGAGAGGCGTACAGCTCCAGGGCGGTGGGGATAATCTCTTCCCGGTAATTCCTTAGTCGGGGGTTCCCACGTGAGGGGTTAGGGGTTGAGCGGTGGGCAAGGAGGGGCGGGGCTGGGAAGGTAGCAGCGGAAGATGGCAGACCAAGGAGAAAACATCGTAGATGGACGGCTTGCATTGGCAACCACCAAACGGTTTGTTCTGTAACGGTCTCGATTGTCCCCGCATCCCGCCCGCCAAAAAAGACAACAACGTCAAGAGAGGCCCCGGTGCGCTTCCCGTACGGAGGGGAGTTGACTGCTATTTTGCCCTTTGTTTCCTGCACAGGCTGTATGTAATTTTTTTTTGTCTGTGTCCTGATGCCAACACTCGAGCATTTTACGGCATGTTGACCAGGAAAAATATGTAATCGTGCGTGTGCGGGGTGGATGGCGAAGGCTGTTTATCAAGAAAACGAGGACGCCAACAATGACAGCAGCACGAGTCGAACGAGCAGCAGCCGGTTCGAACTGCCCGGCGCAACGCCTACCTGTAGTGGGGCCGGTCCACGGCCCAGGCGATCCCCTCGTGGACGACAAGGAGGGACTTGAGCAGCACGGCATCTCGGGGAGTCGGCCCTCCGTCAACGCCGATGAACGCGCGGATGCGACTCAGCGGCATGAGGCACTCCCCCAGCTTGCGAAGACCCTACGAGCGGAGTTCACACGTCGCACGTTTGTTTCGCGACATTGGGGTGGCGGTGTTTTTCCAGGAAAAAACGTAACAGTAGCTTGCGGGGAAGGGTCAGCTGGATCAGACACATGCATGAACCGAAACGAAACCCCCCTGAGTGAGGCACGCGAGATGGAGAGGGGACACAAGAGTTGAAAACAGTGGGTTTCCAGTACAGCGTCATCCTGCATGTTCACACCGGGCCTGCGTCTTCGTTGTTTCGATTGAAACTTTCTATCCGATGGGACGCGCTGCCATCCCTCCTCCCTAGTACACACGTGCCCTCTGGCTGTCGTGTGCCTACCACTTCGGGGACACAGAAAACACTCCCCTGTCTGCGGTTTTACGCGTCCCTTCCGTCGAGCTTTGCGTCTGAACGTTTGGCGAACAACATTATTTTTCTCCTGTCTTGCTGGTGTTGTACAGTTGAGGAAGCCACCACTATTGCCAAACCCACTCAATGACAACGGCTCTTGTCGGAACCAATGAATCATGGGGCATGAAACTCAGCTTTCGCCTAATAGCCTCCACGCCGAGACTACCATCCGCGACTCGGGTGACGGCGGTAGCGCGGCGGCTGAGCAGCAGACAGACAACCTGCCACCCCGCGACGTCCGGAGGCGGTGGAGTTCACGCATACTTGGCGACCAACCCGGCCATCGAACGCATCTTACCTGGACCGCTGCCACGGCCTGGGCGGTCCCCACTGCATCGCCCGCCAAGCTCCCCATTCTATTCCCTCCTCCCCCGCCTTGCCTCTGCCATTGCTCTTGCCTGGTCGCCTCCCCCGCCCCCGTTGCTGCCGCACCTCTTCTCCCCTCCTCCTCCTCCGCCCGTCCCGACCACGCCGGGAACCCCGCCGCCACGACGCAAACCCGCTCTGCCCACCATCCCAGCAGGAACTCCAGCAGGTCCCAGACGTCGCCCACCCGTGGGGGGCGGCCGTAGGACCCGTTGGGGCCGAAGCTGCTGCAGTTCAGCTGGGAAGGGTTGGCGCCCCGGTCGAGCCACTCCTCGAGCCACGCAGGGCTGCCTCATCGAAACGCGGCGTCCGGCGGGGGAGTGGGGGGGAGTATTGACGCGGAGGTGGGTGTCGGTAGGGGTGGACGGAACGCACTGCCGCCGCATCCGTGCAAGTCCGGGATGAGGAGGGTTGTGGTGGGATTGAGGGACCCGGTAGGTGTTGCGTCAAACGTCGCGAGCCGTGAGGTACTTGGCGGAGCCCATCACGAGAGTGTGGGTTGGGGTGTGAGGGGGTGGCTTGGACTGGATATCGCGGCATCTCTCTAGCCACGCCAGGCTATGTAGGTGTGGGGTCGTCCACAGTTCTGTTCTACTGGAGTGTGAACCCATCTACCTCAGTGTCCGAAGCAAAGAGCTACGTGTTGTTCAGGAAGCACGGTAAGCGGGTGGACGTAGACAGTCGGTAGAGGTCTCTTGGGAGGATTGAGGGCGAGGTGTACCAGCCGGGTTTAGTTCCACGGTTTCGATGCTGTTCACGTTTGGGGAACTACTGTCGGTTTCAAAAAATAAGTACGCTTCAATTGTGCTTTCTCACAACAGCTGACCGTAAAAATGCAGCCAAAATGCTCGTTGCCGACAATCTGTCTAGCTGCAAGACTAACTCAGCCGCCCCCCCTGACGCGACCGGCCGACTCGACCGCCCTGACATAGCACCAGCCAGATTCTGTTCTTGGTCGATGTGTCTGAGAGAGAACCTGATATGCCCCTCCCTGCAAGGCTTTCGGCTACAAAGCTTGGTCATACCCGAAACCCCGCGAACAAAGCCGACCGAGGGCGTACACACACGTGTCGCCAGAACCACCAATAAACCGAAACCATCATCAACGCTTGCCACCGCTGCCGTCCGTACAAGGACCGTTAAGTCATTGGTTAGCTCTGTTATTTTTTTCAGTTCTGTCGCTCGCCAGTTCTCGACGTTGCTCTTAAACCCACGCACCTTCGGTGGTTCCCGGCCCAGGGGATGACTCCCTTCCCCCGTTCCATCAACAGCCGGCGTATGTCCAGGCTCATGAGGCAAGAAAACAATGCTTCTTCCACCTTGCTGACGTCATCGCCGCCGCCGCCGCCGCCGCCGCCGCCGCTGCGGAAGTCGGCGTTCTCCTGCCGAGCGCCGTTCCTATCAACCCCCCGGGGTGACGACCCATTGGACAGTAGGTGTTCCGTCACGACCAACGTCCCATCCGACCCCGGGCTCTCCATCGGGACGAGCTCCGGGGAATTGGCAGGCTCCTGCCACTAGGAGGTAGGGTGTACGGTGGGACGGAGTGCGCGGCGGAGAGAGGTGGGTGGCGAGGTGTAGCGGTGAAACCAACAGTCACAGTTAACCAATTGTCGTAGTATCTGGCGCACAGCAGCGGAAAACTTTGGTCTACGGGCGACGTGTTCTGTCGACCAAGGTACGGAGGGGGTTCCCGCAGCGGACAGGGACCGTCCAATAGCTCTCGAACGTCTCGCGACAAAACACACGGTGTGCACATCGTGGATTCGTTGACAGACAAGGCAGCGCACCCCGCTCTCCGTGTACGCCTCTTGAAAAGCGAAACGGTAGCTGAAGGTAAAAACTACCCAAGCTGAGGAGCCCATTCACATGACAGAATTTTGAGCCGGACGGACACCTCCCAAGCTGATGACAGCTCGTTGAATAATTCGTTGGCGACGTGCTACTCTGAGTTGTGGATGACACCACCTTCCCTGCAGCTTTTGGGTGGCAGAGAAAATTCGGATTTCAGGTTTTTACTGCATTCGGGCTGTGCTTTCATTTCAAAAGGCCCGACGAACACAGACGAATACGAAACGCCCAAGAGTTTTCTCTGTGTGGCGACACGTCCCACACCGCGTAGGAGATGTTTTCTCGCAAGTACCTCAAAAAAAGTCTGGAGCTAGACGGTTTGTATGACATTGCATACCCTGCTTGGGCACTCTCGACCAGCGTGTAGACGCACCTTACAGCGTACCACACACATGCATGTCAGGGCCGGGGCATAAACCTCCGCCGCCATCCCACAAAACTGTTCTCAGCTCCTCCGCTCAGCTCCCCGTAAACCCTCCCCGCCGTCAACGCACCTGGATCCGCAGTCTAGCCCTGTGGGACTCCCAATGCCTGAACGCCGGCAACACCGCCAGGTGGCCCTGGGCAGAGTCTTGGTCTTGTTCGACAGCCTCCCCCACCCGGTCGTCGTAGCTTCCATCCACCGCCGGGGGCGCTGTTCCTCCGCCGTCTGCCGTTCCTGCCTCCGGTGGGAGCACTGTCATGCGAGACAGCGGCACCATCTGCAGAAAAGGGCCGTGACGACCCTGCTGAAGGGGCCCGCCATGATAAATCTCCCGCTGGGCCTGGGTGAAACTTTGTTGCGGGCTGAGCCCCGACGACCCGTCCGGGTTGCCGATACGGACGACTCCGCCGGGTTGGTGTTGACCAGCGACAGCGGCGGGGGAGTTTCCGTGCTGCTGTTGTGCGTGGGCTCCGGCACCGTCTCCGACCGACAATCCGTGCGGCGCATGCTGCTGGACGGCCATGGTCCACTCCTGGGACCACCTCTCCTGTCTTGCTAGCTCTTCTTCCGTTCCGGCCAAACCGGAGATGCCACCTTCCGCTGCGGCCGACGCTTCGTGTTGGTTCTGATCGGGGGCACTGTACCCTCCCGGAGACATGGAAAACGCTGTGGCTGCTGCGCTCAGCCTGCTAGACGAGGACAACGGAAAGGGTACCGGCGGCCGTCCACCTTGCGGCATGTAGGTAGGGTTGGGCAAGGTCCGAGTCCGGCCGGCGATTCCACTGGGCGGCGCAGTATTCCCCCCAGGAAGGTCATACACTGTAGGGTGGTGGAACGGGCTTGTTGCTAACCTTGCGGCTGCGGTGGCACCGACGGGAGGTTGGTAGGGCGAGTGGGCATCAGCGGCGGTGCGACTCAATTGTCGCCTCCCTGGAGGCACGTAACGAGCGGTCCCGCCAATTTGAGGGCCGCTGGTGGCGTTCCTGCCGTCGTACCTGCCGCTCGTGGGGTAGCCTTGAGGGGGAATTGCGGCCATTCCTCTTGCTGTCGCCGCCACGGGATGCAAATGAACGCCCGTGGATGGCTGCGGTGCCGTCTGCGGCCTCGAAGGGACCTGGTCCGGATCTCTGGCCTGCTTTCTCAAGGGTGGGACGCCAACGAAAAATCGGAAGGAAATGGGGCGTGGGGTTGGATAAGGTTGTTTGTATGATCTTGGCCACAGCAGCGTCTTGCGGTAACACGTGATTCGAGCTGGAAACTACGCTGGAGACGAATAACTTCCTTCCCAAAAGACTCGGTAGGGGTGCGGGATAGCTGCTGCAGGCGAATGTTTTATTCCTGCTGTTCCTGCAACTGTACTGTTTGTATGGACATCCGAATGGAAGCTCATTACCATACCCTTTCCTTTCATTGTAGGATGGTTGGTGGGACCATGCCCGGGTCATGAATGCTAGCTTGACTACGGAAAAATCCTTTGTTTTGTCTTGTAGAGTACGCAAGAGGAAGCGCTATTCAGAGAAAAATAATGTTGTGAAATATGACGATGACAACCTAGGAGGAACTCGAAGTAGTCGCAAACTGGTGCATAAACGTTTTCCTCAGCGGAAGCTCTTCAATAGACCAAATGGCAACATCTGTCGCTACCTACCCATCCATCCATCCATCCATCCCAATCCACCCACCTCTGCCCTTTGCCTCCGAACCATCTCTTCGACCTCCCTCAAGAAGTCTGAGAGTGACCTACGACCCCGGTGCATCTGCGAGGCCATAACTTCGTCACGCAGCGAGCTATTGACGTGGTCACCATGGCGACGTTCGCCAGTTTCACGCTGTCGCTCCCCGACAAACAACGCTCCGCGTCCCCCAGAAGGCCAACCTGGTGGGTTGCTACTTTGAAAAGCTGCAATGTGGGCCCGACGCATGCCAGCGGGCCGTTGCCCAGGCGCGTCGAACCAGCTGTTGCCACCATCGCCGCCGTTACCACCATGGCTACTGCGGTCGTGGGCTGCAGCAGCATCCATCGGCGAAAGCGGTTCCTGGGTTCCGCCGCCGCTCCAACCATCGCCAACATCGGCGCCGCCGCTATAAAGGCCGCCGTCAGACCTTCTCGCTTCCGTCGAACTTTGAGGGCGCCCGCCGCGGGAAGCCGAGCGAGGTTGAACTCGGCGTCTCCCTACGCCCCTGTTGCCGTTCCATTGACGGGGCCAAGGGTGCCCCTCGCCCTCGAACGTGGCGTCAACTTGCCCGAGAGTAGGCGGCCCTGTCCTCGCGCGCCATACCGAGGTGTTGTCGGAGTGTGCTGACACTCCTATCTCCATCGCTGGTTCTGTAGCATTCGAATTGTGAGGGGTAGCTTGCGCCGAGGGAACCCTCGTGGCAGCAGGTCTAGCATGGTAGGCAGTCGCGGTGGCCCGCAGCGGAGATGATGGTACAGGCCGGGCATTCGCGGCGTTGCTAACTGTACTTCCGCGATCGGACATGTGCTGCATAGGAGACGACTCGGGATATGAAGTCGCTGTCGATGGCGGTGCAGACGCGTGCTCGGTAGATCTACCGATGTACCTGGACGTCACAAGAAATTAACATGTGTTCATAACCGAGAGCGAACAAAGTTTGAACGCAGGAAATTCTTCGTACTCGAGAGTAAAAGTACAACGTAGTACTGCTGTAACAAAGAGTCATTCACGATGCTCCGACACCACATTTACATCAGCAGTGAGCTGCTATTACGACTTGAGGCTGACCTGGACATGTACTCTTGAAGGGAAGTAGGGACCGAGAATACCAGAGGGCTGTCCGGTGTTTCCTCTCCGCCGTGGTGGTGCCGAAAGCTGTCGCCCATCTCGTTCTTCGCTGTAATTCCAGACGCGTCAGCTACAGACTAGCTAAGGATTCGAAGTCTCAACGTTCCACGAACCGAGTTGGGCTCCCTGCACCGAGCCCCCTTTCCAATCGAGCTACTGGTAGAGAGTCAGCTCTACCTCTTGTGTGCGTCTACACGTCCAGTTCACACAGGAATGGAGCGTGAGGGGAAGACGAGCTATTCAGAACTGAAAGTCATGGTAGGCGGCGGAACCACAACAGCAGTACACATGCCAACCGGCATTTTTCCCGCCGACGGGCCGCAACACATGGGCCACTTTCGCTGCCTCCCCCCACACGATACGCACAGCCTACGCTACCATCGAGCGAAGCCTCACCCTCTCGTGGAGATGGAAGAAAATCTAGCTGCTTCTTTTGCTGCTTCTTCCACGGTCCATGTTGGTGTTGGTGGTGATGCAGAATCAATTCTGAATACCGTCGGGCGAATTGAAGAACCGTCTCTTGGGCAGCAAGTGGCAGCCTTGGGCGAATTGAAGAACTCGCTGGTGGGGGACGACGAAGCAAAACGCACGGCGCTGAATCTCCTTGTCGTGGAAGACGTTCTGACATTTCTTGACGTCGTTGCAGCGAGGGGAATCAACGATTGCCATCTTCAGTCGGCCTTACTGCACGGTGTCGGCCTGTTCGCGATTTTGAGCTCCCCGCCGGTTGTTCCAGGCCTTCAGGCCCACCTCGCCCCCAATGGTTCGCGAATCGTCCAACACATCGTGCGAGCCCTGGAATGGGGTAAATCATCATGTCCTTCTTCTTCATCAGTCCAGAGCAGCAGCCGGGGAAGCAGCGCCGGCGCCGAGAGGCTGACGGCCATCTCTCTACGAGCGCTGTGCGCATGCGTTGCTTCCCTCACAACAATCACTTGTTCCTCCTGCACCTCCGGTGATGTGGGGGTTGGTGCTGCTTCTGCGGCTTTTGCTGCCTCTGCTGCGAGCAAGGAAAAAATGAAGTTGGTGACAGCGCTAGTGAAAGCCTCCGGCCTAATACTGCACAATATTGTTGCTGCCACTTCTCCAACACCAACAACTTCAACAACGTCAAGAGGTCGAGGAACAAGTCCATCGTCTTGGCGTTGGTCGCCGAATCTAAAGTCTCTCGGAGTGGAAGCGCTGGCCGCTATGACGAGAGTCGAGGAGCTGGCAAGAAGTCTCGTGCCCGGGGCAGTGTCGACAGGGGCCGCCCTTCTCATGCCGGTTCTCGCGCGGTGAGTCGGACAGGGTATCGACACGTGGGCTCACCACACAAGTAGCTAGATTATTCCTGAACAAGAAGAGTAGGAAATGTTTCAAGACGTTGGGCGACACGCGGAGAACGAAACAGCTTGTGCCGCAATTGTTTTCTGTCACAGGATCGTGAAAGGGCAAACGGTTCATCATGCTATTTGCTAAATTCGACTCTCAGCGTACTACATGGACATTTCCCAGTCTGCCGTGGAGGTTGATGGAAGGGAACAAGAAAGAGAGTAGAACTTGTGCCTTGTGGAAAATGTCCAGTAGGCGATATTGGGAGTTCCTTCCTCCACCTCTGCTCAAGGGACTCACGTACTTCATTCTAGCACCCAAACAACTGTTCTTACAGAGTACAAGACTGTACACCAGCAGCTTGTGTATGACCCTAGGCTGACGCTCATGTCGCTGTGCGTAAGCCTTTCAATTTTCTCTTGACTCCTTGTCTGAGTCCGATTAATCTTGTTCCACGTTCCGGAAGACGATCAGATCGAAAACGAACCTTGCTAACAACCAATGCCCCCCCCTTGATCTTGACCTTCCGTTCCCTCCCCAACCATAAACAATTCAATCGATAACCACATGAACGGCAAACCCCAACCTTATCCCACCGTCGAAAACCTGTAGAAAACCTCATGGCATCGTAAGAAATGTGGCAGCTGGTCCGGTGGAAGCGTCAATGGCAAACTCCGCATTTCCCGTGCTGGAACTCCTGGTGAACCTGTCTTGTGCCGACCCGCACGCGATCTATAACTGGTTGGCGAGCTGCTCTCCTGATGACGGGTCACCCGGCGGCGCGCTCAAGGGCCTGGAGATAGAGCTTAACAGCAGGGTTGAGAAGGTCCGGTTTAGACGAGTGAACGAAGACGACGACGGTGGCCATGTTTCGAGCTGTATATTAGGGGTATTGTTGATATTGTTGGCAAGCCACACTTTTGGAGTGCTCTAAACGGGTGGTGACCAACAGCCCATTGGGTTGCTCGACAACCAGCGTCGACGCGGACGATTCGCCTTGTTCCACAACGTTTTCTTCACTATAGTCAGCCGCCAGTTTGTCCTCTCCGCGCGGTGTACCTCCATGACATTGAATTTGCGCCAGTTTGTTCCTCTTAATTTGTGGTTGTGTTTTCCACTTCTCCAAGCCAATCAAACTGCCGGAACCTTGTGGGGAACAGCCAGGGCTCTGACTGAGATGCTTGGAACCCTCCCTTTCTATCCGGGAAAACCATGAACGCGCGTACCTGCTTCTCTCCCGTCGAACACTCTCAAGCGTTCAGGGGGTCGCAACCGATACGAGGCACGTCTTGGTGTTTTCGTTTGTGTTATGTCCAACAGCGATCGGTTTCTGGGTACATCACTTGAGCTACCCCTTCTTGAGATATTCGAAAACTCAGACCGCTTGTAGAAGCTTGCACCGCGACTTCGGACAAACACGACATCTGATGTTGCCACAGGTACGAATCTTAGCTGGCTTGGTCCTGGTCAGCTGCTTCAAAAGCAGCAAGATGAGGCTTGGAACTACGTCGTCACCCCGTCCATCGTCACACCAGTCGACCGAATCCCCCGCCTTGGACGAGGTGATCGCTCACCGAGTTCTACCCCTTTTTGTTCGGACGCTGAGCTCATGGTCCACCCTCCCATCGACAATCAATGGTCAGGGTGGTGGTGGTGGTGGTGGCAGTAGAGTGAGAGGGACGGGCGGATTTCACCGTTCAACTTTGAACAACACGAGCGGGTCGGCGGCGGCTAGCTTCGCGACAGTATGCGGCGGATATGCAGTGGCCGTGACTGCTGCCTTGACCACTACAACGGAGCTCGGGTCTTTGCGGCGGCAACGCGAGGCCGTTGCGTACGGCACCGTCGACTCCCTCGTGGTGTTTCTCAAGAGAGCACGCACGGAGGCAGAGGCGACCGGGACCAAATCAGGGTCTTCACTGAGCGCCAGCACCAGCACTCCCGCCGCCGAATACAATGCGCCATCCGGGGTTCCTTCTTCCGCTGCCGCTAATTCTGCCGGTGCAGCTGCTGCCGCTGCTGTGGAGGAGTTTAGCCGTTCCATAGACTCCCGTCTCATCCAGACTGCCACCGAGGCGGGTCTGAAGGCACTGGCGGCGCTTTGCGCACGCTGCGAGCCCGCCCGCGAGAGGACTGTCGCGCTCGGGTTTCACTCTGCCGTCGGATACTGGCTAGCGACATCCCCACGGGAGAACGGTAACGGGAGCAACCTGCCCTTGGACCCGTCCAGGAGTAGAAGCAGCCGATGTGACGGCGTCGGTGCTAGTCAGAGAAGAAGAAGCCTAAGCGGCAGCAATAGCAGCAGCGGCGGTAGTAGCGCCGCCGTACGCCTGGCAGCTCTGTTGCTTGTGAGAAACCTTGGACGGTCTAGCGTCGCTTGCTCCGCGCTGGTCGGTGTCGGTGTTCACGAGCACCTCCTCGGCTTGGTGACGCTAGGCAGCGGTTGCGCCGGCCACGACGAGAACACCGAAAGCACCGCTGCGGGAGGCAAAGGAGCAGCAGTGGCAAGGGGAGCTGAGGAAGACGGTACCGAGGAAGGCACCGGGACAAACAGCGGAACCAAGGCTGGACTCCAAGCTACCGGGGCCGCCCAGCGAGAGGCGCTTGCCTTCGCCTGTCTCGCGAACATGGCGCTGGAGCACGAGGCGGTGAAGGAGGCCGTCGTGGGGTCGGAAGCGTGTCTTCAAGGAATCTGCAACTTTTCCCTCGACCTCTCAGTCGACCGGAAAAACGTAGGTCCTGGTGTTGTTACTCTTCCTCTTCTTTACTGTAGTCGTTGCAGTTGCAATGGTGTGGCACTTCCTCAAGGCCGGGGGCAAAGCGACCATCGACGGCTGGCACGTGGTGTTGTGTATTGCACCCCAAGAATTCATTATCACCGCTGCACCATGCTTGTCGGTGGG